AATGCCCAAATTTGGCTTAACCTCTTCTTTCTTTGTTTCATTTGTTTTCTAACTAACCGTTTAGTTAATTTGGTTCAATTTAATAAAATTCCTCAAAAGATAAACTATGTTCTTTATGTTAGTTTATTTTAACAAAGTTTCTTAATTTTATTGAATATCTTTAAAATGATTTTCATACTTTAAAAAACTAAATTGGTTTAAATTGTTGTTTTAAAATGAATCAAATAAATTCTAATTTATTTAATTTTGTTAAAATCTTAATCACTTGCAATTTAATACAAATATCTCAATTAAAATCCTCATTTCTTAAAAATTAAAAATTGTTTTTTGTTTGATTATTTTTTCAAAGTTAATTAAATATTGTAAATTATTATTTTTTATGTTAAATCATTTTTCCAAAAAATAGTCAAATATTTAATTTAAGTCGTAGGATAACCGCATGTTAGCGGATACTTCAAATACTTTTAAAATCTTCTTGAAGTGTAAATGAGAACCTCTTACCTATTTTCTCTAAATTTATAAAGGCTTAATCTGGTAGAATTTTTTAAATTAAATTTTCTTAATTTCTCTAAAAAATTATGTGGCGACTCTTTCTAAGTATTTTTTTCTCAAATTGATTTTAAAAAGTGATTTTTTTAAAGATGATAAAATTACGGCATTACAATGATCAGTGTGGATATTGTCGTATTGTTACTTGTTTGTTAAGGTCAAAATGATTGAATTTTATCCGAACCTACAAGAATAAATGTGTTACACTTACACCCTTTGTAAAATGAAATTCTTTTTCCAATTTGATTCAGTTTACTAAAAAGTACACTAAAATTTTTGAACGGTCAAAAATGGATATGTTGGGGTTTTGGGAGTGTTTTAAAAAAGAAACTCAATTTTTTAAATTAAAAAACTGCTCCTACTTACTTCTTCATATAATATTATGCATCGTTACAAATAGAAGTGACCACATTAATACTAGCACGAGATTGTTCTGGCTTAAGAAATTACAGAATCTATTAACACAATGACTTTTTAAGCCAAGCAAAAGTAATTCTTTCTTTGTCTAATTCTGAAATTTTTAACACAAATAATGTGGGATCTCTATGTTTGCTTCCGTATTTTTTAGCACAAATGATATGACTTTTTGCTTGCTTTTGACATTTTTAACACAAATAACATATCTTCTCTTAGTCTGCTTTTAGAATTTCTTATCCGCATAATGTGTAGTCTTTTTATCTGCTTTTGAATTCTTAATACAAATATTAAGGGGTCTCCGTTCTGCCTATGAAGTTTTTAACACAAAAAACGAGGGGTTCTATCCAAAATTTTTAAAAAAGATGACCTTTAGCTTCAAGCTAGAAGTTTGTATTTTTTCTCATTCAGTTGTTGTAAAATAAAATTATTAGATTTGCAAATAATTTTAGATATATAACTTGTAAAATTAATTGTATAAAATATATATTTTGATGGTTAAGCATTTTATATATTGCTAGTTTTCAGCACATGCATTGCACATATATGCATAATAATACAATACATATTCTATAACTAATATCAATATTATTAAATAAAGTACTTTTGAGTAAATAATTTTACATATATGAAAACTAAAGTATAAGTTTTAGATAATGACCAATGTGGATTATTGTATAGTTATTTTTTTGTTGAGGCAAAAACGATTTAATTCCTCTAAAACTACAAGGATGAGTGCGTTGTACTTTAAAGATAGTACAACAAAATCCCCTAAATGCCAAAAGTGGATAGTTTGGATTTTTTTGGGGGGGGGGGGGTTGGGGGGGTGATGGGGTTTTAAGTGTTTACGAAAAGTAATTCAATAATTTTTTGGTTAAACAACTACACCTATTTATTACTTTATCTAATATTATGCATCGTTACAAATAGAAGTGGTCACATTAATACTCGCACTAGATTATTCTAGCTCAAAGAATTACAAAATCAAATTACATTACAATTTTTTAAGACTAATAAAAGTAATTCTTTCTATGTTTACTTTTGAAAAATTTAACACAAATAACGTGGTCTCCTTGCCTGCTTTCAGAGTTTTTAGTTCAAGTAATGTGAATTTTTTTTCTGCTTTTGAAGTGTTTAATACAAATAACATTGCTTTTTACTTGCTTTCAGAGCTTTTAACATAAATAATGTGGATTCTTTTTGTGTGCTTTCAAAATTTCTAACACTAATTACATAGGGTGGGATCTCTTTGTCTGCTTCTGAAATTTTAAACACAAATAATAATGGGTCTCTCTCTGCTCCTGATATTTTTAACACAAATAATGTGGTTATTTGCTTGCTTTTAGAGTTTTTAATAAAAATAATACGTAATTTTTTGTTTGCTTTTATACTTTTAACAATGTAAACGCGGAATCTTTTTGTCTACTTCTGAAATTTTTAACCAAAAATTGTTGGGTTGGTCCAATTCATAAAATGATGATCTTAATTTAGATTCTGAAATAATTTTTTTTTTGAATAATAAATATCAAATCCAAAAATAGCTACCTAAATATTTCATCAAAGTAAAAAATCAAATGTGCGTGATTTTTGAAGTTTTTTACTTTTAGAAAATAAAATAAGCAACCACACTTGTTCTTAGAGGTGCGCATCGGTCGGTTCGGTTCGGTTTTAGGTGTTATTGGTTCGGTCTATCGGTTTTCGGTTTGTAAATACTTCAAACCGATAACCAAACCAATAACATATTTCTTATCGGTTTTTGGTTAATCGGTTTATGGTACTTAACGGTTCGGTTTTCGGTTTAACCAATAAGAAAATACTCATATATATTATATACACAATAAATTTTTTTTCAAATAAACCATATGATTTTTCCAGCATTTGGCATGAAAGTAATAATCATAAAAGTAACAATCATTTTTCTTGCAAGTTTAGACACTAGACACATTCAAAGGAAAAAGTGTGAAAGTAACAATTGTTTAACCATTAACAAAAAGTGTGAAAGTAACAATCGTTTAACCATTAACAATAAGACTAGTAAATTTAGTATAGTCTTATTGGGTTATCGGTTTAACCATTAACAAAAATTATAAAACCGGAAACCGAACCAATAACCCAATAAAAAAATTTGCAAAACCGTTTAAAAACCGTTAGTCCAATAACCCAATATCAATAAACCAATAGTGTTTTTTTCGGTTCGGTTTATTAGTTAAATCGGTTTTTGCACACCCCTACTTGTTCTGCTCCTCTTTTTTAGTTTTTTATTTAAATAAACGATTAAAAATCCTCTTCTTCTTTTTTGTTGTGGTTGGCTATAGTGGGTGATAATTTTTTAATAAAAAATAAAATAAAAAATGAGTTCTTTAAATAAGGACACATCTTTTATTAAACGGAGAACTTTTGCAAATAGCCATTATAATAAGCTTAATTATGCTTCATAGCTATATTTGCATATTTACGACTTGTAGCTATAATTTATGCTGCTTCGTTTGTATAATTTGCTGGTTTGTATAATTAATAGGGTATATTTGTATAATTCAGTTATTTTTGTATAAACTCGAAATAACGAATTTATATAATTATAAACATCTGAAGTGTAAACAATTATATAAATTATATTATACAAAAGTTATACAAATGTGCGAGTTATACAAATGTGTGAATTATACAAAACTAAAAAGTTGAGCCGCGTAATTATAGCTAAAAATAGGTCACAAATTGTAATTAAGACAAACTATAACTATGTTAAGTAATTAACTAGTATATATTTGCTTATACGCATAATTTTTCCTTAAACATACGTATGCAAGGAATGTGCAAAAAGCTAGTACTATATAAAAGCAAACATATACTAGTATTATCTATAAAATCAGATGAAATAAGAAGAAGATGAGGAAACTATCCATTATTGATATACTCAAGTATCTTGGGTCTTTGATCCAAGGAAAGACGGAGATCATCATATCAATGATGTTTCACATTGTATTGGTGTAATATGAATGAAGTGGAGGTTTGCCTTCAGAGTCTTGTGTGATAAAAAGATAATAATAAAAGGAATTTAAGAAGATAAGTTGTATAGAGTAAAATTTAGACTGATTTTGTTGTATGAGGCGACATGTTAGAATTTCATGTTTGAAAGATGTAAGTGGAGAAATGAAGATGTTCGAATGTGTGAGGATACTAAAAGCTATAAGTTCACTAGCACAAACTCAACAACCTCTTGTCACAGTTTTAAATTTTCACCATTTCATAAGGTTGTTCTTCAAACTTCCTTAAACTTATAAATGGAGTTTTTCAATTTTTCAATATCCATGGAAGAGAGAGTGGTGGGTGGTACGAGAATTTTGAGGGTATAATGGTTATATTTCCAATCCAAATTGAAACAGGTGGTACGAGAATTTTCAGGGTGAGTGGGGTGGGTGGAGATGGGGTTGAAGAAGAAGAAGAGAGAGAGATTCAAAATTCTTTTTTTAATTTTTTTTTTTTAAAATATGAATATTATATTTATTTGCTTATATCGTGTTTTGTCCAATTAAGCTATTTTAATGTCGCGTAAGTTTAATGATTTTACCTCATTTTATTTCGATGGTTATTATGTATTGTTTTATATTGTACGAGGTAGAGTTACTATGAAAATATAGGGTAAAAGATGAAATATAATTATTAAATAATATATAAAGATAAAATGAGAAGAAAATATTAAGGTAACGAAGTGATTACACCAAATCGGCCGTTATATAAAATAAGTCTTTTCGTTGTTACCTAATAATGGATTTAAACAATACAATATAATAAAATTTAAGTAATAATCAAAACAAACATTGCATTTAAATTAACAATACAATACAACAGATAACATCCATTCAAATAAAGTGTAAATGTGGTTCGATAGTTGACGAGGGTAAAGACGTAATTTAATAACAATCCCACCATGTACTTCCGCCAAATTTTAAGTGCATGTATTTTTTGGTATATAAAAGATCACAAACTGTTTTCCCTCTCTTTTGGCAAAACCCTTCTTCCATTTTTTGGGTATAATTCTTCTCTCTGTCGTCAGTTATGGAAGACGAAAACCAGAGATTTTCGAGGCTGCTTACTGCTCATCTTGATAAAGGTTTTGATTCTTCCACTTCTTTTTCAAATACTGCAACTATGTTATTTTAACATGAATCTTGAATTTTTTTTGAACAGTTAAACAACAGGTTAAGAAGTTAATGGAGGCTGCTTGTGCAGGGGATATTAAGCTTTTCAAGAGTAAGTTTTCAATTTCAAGAATTGAAAACACTATTTTCCTTCTTTATTATGGGGTCTCAGTTGATGATTGTGAAACAGAATTGGCAAAGGGACTGGATCGTGGGAAAGGGTTGGCCGCTACGGTGGCGTCTGTGAAGGATGGTAAAGAACGAGGGGCATTGAGCTTTGCCGCTACGGAAGGACAACTTAAGATGTGCAAGTACTTGGTGGAGGAGTTGAAGATTGATGTCAATGATAGAGATAAAGAAGGTATTCTCTACTATTGAGTTCTCGTTTAGAATTAATTTGGCTCTAGGGCTTTTGTAATTGAAACTTGAGGGGTTTGAAATTTTTGTAATATAGTGGTAGAATATTCTAGACATAAAATTTAGATTTTGGTACTTGGTACTTCAGGGTAATGAAATTGAGAAAGCTATAGAATAATTAAGCTGGAAGAAACTAAACTCCCTAACTAAGTTCCATTCCACCTCAACAGACATAACGTACGCCTCCGCAAGCTGTAAGTAGCACGTGCTTATGCACATTTCCAATTCCAGAACACATCAAGTACTATCCCAGAAATTTACCCAGCATTGACATTGTTAACTATGTATTTTCTTAGGCACTATTTGGTTATAAGCTTAAAAGTTATTCATCATTTTTGGATCTACTTGGCATCAATACATTTTGGTGGATTTGCAACATTTGAATGAAGTATTTCCTTGTTCATCCAAATATTTTACAATGTTCTGGTGCCTAAGTGCCGACAATTCAAATATTTTAAGTTTAGTTTTTCAATCTTTCAAGAGAATGATATGATAGACGAAAATGTAGTACATTGAATTAAAATGGATATGAAGGTACCTTACTAGTAACAAATGTTACCTTCTCAAAAACAAACAAACAAAAAAAGATACCTAACTAGTAACATATGTTACCTTTTAAAAAAAAATATCAAAAAAAAAAGATACCGAACTAGTAACAATTGGAAGGCAAGTTCTAGAGGATAGTTGTGAGACCAACAATATTGTATGGGAATGAATATTGAACTTCTGATGCACTCAACTTGTCAACAAAATGAGTATCTTAAAACTGCCAATGTTAAATCAATGTGTAGTCATACAAGATTATATAAAATTAGAAATAATCACATTATGCAAGTAGTACACCTCAATTATATCATGTGAGAAGGACTTTGGTAATGGTTTGACTGTGTCCTATGCAGGCCTCCAAGTGCACCTATGTAGGTGTGACATTACGATAATTGAAGGTGCTAAAAAGGGATAGGGTAAAACTAAAATAACAAGAGTGGGAAGTTATCTTTTGACTAAAATAACAAGAGTGGGAAGTTATCTCAAAAGATCTAAAATCTCTAAGAATCAACACGGACTTGGCTAGAATACAAAACAATAGATGAAAATGATACATATAGGTGATTAGTTTGTTGTGATCAAGGCTTAGTTGTATATTTACATTAAATCTTGGTAGGTCAAGCATATGAATTTAGGGGACCTCAAGTTGTTGAAAACCCTTAACTTGCTTTGAAAGAGAATTTATTCGCCAATATAGGAATGGTAAACTCAAATACAGCGGAATATATGGAGGATTTATATTTACTGATTCCAACTTGTTTGAGATTGGAGGCTCTTGTTGATTGATTGATTAATATGTGCTGAAAGTGATATTGCTTTTAATATATATTATTTCTTCATAGGTCAGACTCCTGTTCTTTGTGCTGCTAGGGAAGGACACACTGCTACTGTCCAGTACCTCATAGAAAAGGGTGCAGATCCTGCAACACCCAGCACCTCAGGGGCAGCTTTGCATAATGCTGCAGGAAATGGTAGGTTTTTCCTCTTCGTTAGTAGAAGTGGTTGAAGCTTCTATATGTGTCAGGGAAAGAGTACTGGGTTCATATGCATTTAATTGCTGTACCTTGTAGCTCTTGTACATTGAACTTTTCTATTTAGGGAGTTCCACATTTTCTGATAAAATGTTAGACAAAAAAGTCAATAAATTTTTAAAATTTTTGATCGTTTGATATTAATTGATGGGATTTCGACCGACATAAGTTGTTTTGGACTTAGGACTATGAAAAGATAAAATTGTGTTGAGAAATGTCATAGTATAGAATATGCAATTTTATTTTATTTTTGAAACTGGTAACTTTGTATATTCCTCAAAAGACAATACTAAACTGTACTGGCCAATATTTACAACATGTACTTCAAATCCTCCTATCTTTTACTAAATTGAGTCTAGTACATCGATTATGGAGATAATATCATTTGAGTATAACTTATTATACCAAAAACATAGTAGCATATGACAATTTAGTTTGAATTCTTGCATACTATTCTCTATACTATCAAAAGCTCTCTTCCATATTGCCCACCATATACTAGCTGGGACAATTCTCTGAATTTTTGCATACTATTCTCTATACTACCAAAAGCTCTAGAGTTCTATTCCTTCCATATTGTCCACCATATACTAGCTGGGACAATTCTCCATTTATCTTTGTTCTTGGATTTCTTTCCTGGTTCCTCCCAACTCTGGATTGCTTCTGTGATCTTGGCAGGCATGGCCCATGACATATCCTTAAGATTCAGGAATAATCTCCATAATTGGCAGTGATTTAGCAGTGTAGAAAGAGATGGTTAACTGTCTCATCAGTTTCCCCACAAAAGAAACATCTAGAACGTAATGGTATTCCCCTGCTCTTTAAGTTGTCTTCAGTTAGTACAGCTTCTTTGGCTAACAACCAGACAAAAAACATGTCACTTTGTGTGGGATTTTTGACTTCCAGATTCCTCTCCATGGCTAGTGACTTTGAAGCTGATTGGTGTGGTTCAGCCAGTTGTATGCACAACACCTTAAAACTGCTCCTCCGATTGCCTTTTCGCCACAAAATGTCTTGACCCCTTTCCAGTCCATTAAATTGCCCAATGGTGTTGAAAAGATCTGCTACCCTTTAAATCTCCTAATCATTTGATTGTCTTCTAAAGATAAAGTTCCACTCTTGAGGAGTCCAGTGATCTACTATGGTCTTCTGTTGGTGAGATTCCAGAGAATATTGATCAGGACACAAGACCTCTAGCCTACCTGCCTCATGCCAAACATCCTTCCAAACTTCTGTTTTCTCTCCATTCCCCACTTTGATCTTTGTGTTAGCCTTAACACTCAGACCATAGAGATCTAATGGATCTCCATACACTGACCCCATATGGTGTAGTCACCTTTTTGGTCATTCAGTTGTCTTCCTCTGTATATTTTGCCTTAATGACTTTCTTCCAGTAGGACTGTTCTTCATTATTGAACTTCCACAACCATTTCATCTTAAGGGCTTTGCTCTGATTCATCAAGTTCCTTATTTCCAGACCTCCATGCTTCTTTCCCACTATCACAACATCCCATTTAACAAGTTGTAGCCTTTTCTCTCACTGTTTCCTTGCCAGAGAAATTTTCTTCTTATTTTATCCAACCTAGTGATTACACTTTTGGGAACTGAGAATTCTGACATCATATAGGTTGGTAGTTAATCAATAACAGAATTAATCAAGGTCAACCTGCCATCCCTAGAGAGAAATTGTGATTTGCATCTTGCTAACTTCATTTCACATCTCTCAACCACATTGTTCCAAATTTTATATGACTGAGATTTGGCCCCCAAAGGCATCCCAAGATATGATGTAGGCAGTGCTCCAATCTCCCCTCCCAGAACAACATTTAAGGCTTCCATGTTGTGTACTTCATTAATTGGATAGAGGTGGCTTTTCCTCCAATTAATTTGTAGACCAGAGAACCCTTCAAACAACACTAGGATCATTCTCAGTCCTTCATCATCATCACATAATATCAAGCTATCACCAGCATATTGTAGATGGGTAAGTTCACACTATAAACTTCAAGTCTGCTGACCTCAAAACCTCTGAGCCATCACTTCACTTTAGTTGATTTGATCATATTGTTCATCCCTTCCATAGCAAGTAGGAAAAAGGAAAGGAGACAAAGGGTCTCCCTGCCTCAGTCCCCTCTCCACACTAAAGAAACCAACAGGGTGTCCATTTATAAGTACTGAGAATCTCATAGTGGTGATACAATGTCTGATAGAATATGCAGATTTCCTTTTCATCTAAGTTGACATTATTATTGAATGACCTAAAAATAGTAGAGTGACCCATCTACTTAACCCCGGGTTGGCAGGTTTACTTGACATCTTTTGCTTAATCTAGTGGATTAGTCGAAGTGTCGCACATGCTGGTCGATAACATTGTTGCCACATAATCTGAGTCAGGGATCTAATCATATTGTGAAAGATATCAGTAGTTGAGATTCAGCTTTTAATTCTCTATTGGTAAAACAATGAGAGAAATCAATCAGCATGTCATGCCTAATTGTTATATTGTTATTTATAGTGGTGTCCTGCATACTGTTATGTGTGTAGCTACATGCATTCTTCAATTTATTATCCTTCTTTACATAGAATGACATTTTATTTTTCATTGTCTTTGTTTGCAGGACATATTGAATTGGTTAAATTGTTACTGTCGAAGGGTGTAGACGTTGATTTGCAAAGTGATGCTGGAACACCACTTATGTGGGCTGCAGGTCTCGGCCAAGAAGATGCTGTTAAGGTTTTGCTTGAACACCATGCTAATGTGAGTGCTTTGTTACCTGTTTAAACCCCTCTTTTCTTAAATCAAAATTACCACTGTTTTAGTGGTTGGCCTGCTGGCAATTGACTTGAGCCTTGGGGTTTGCTCCCTTTCAAGGTCTCAAGTTCGAAACCCAGTGGGTGCAAACAATTTCTGAGGGCCATCGGACTGGGTAAAACCTGAATTAACCGTGGTGCACTTGCGGGAAACTCCTTGCCGAGGGCCTGTGCACCCCCGGGATTAGTCGGGGCTCAAAGAGACTCGGACACCCGGTGCAAATCAAAAAAAATTACCACTGTTTTAACATTTCTCACTAGACAAAGTGGAAAACAGTTGTATGGTTCAAGTGTTAGCTTTCTAATGACTTGAAGCTTCCTAGTGGGTTTTAATCAGTTCATCATTGTTTTGTAACAGGGAGAGAGGTTATTTTCAAACATCACCACCACCCTTATCCAAACAAATTTCACTCCCCCCCCTCCCTCCCTTCAAAAGGCAAAATGAGTCAGGCCACATGTGAGGGGGCGTGTTGATAAATAATAAAAGTATCCCCTCTCTAACAACTTAAGCTTTTGCCTTCTAGATGAAGTGGTTCCACAACCAAACAAGTCCTTACACACTTCTCTTTCACTGATCTATTCAAAAGGTGACCAATTAATAGATGTTGAGTTCTTTCTTTCTTCTCTTGTTTTATGTACTTTCTTCCCTTTGCTAAACAGTGTAGAGTTTCCACTCCTAACTTGCCTAGGCTTCTTTTCTTCATGCTTTTCAGTTTCACTTAGTTGTTTGTTAGTGTTGGTGTTGCGAAAAAGAAGTTTTAGTAAAATAGTTAGCTTAGATATAGTATATAAATTAGCTTTTGTTTGGTGATTCAACTTAAGATAAATATCTCTTTCACAAATTTTTCTTTCACATACAGAACCTGATTTGCATTTCTTACTCGTTAGAGAGAGTGACATAGAAATTTCTATATAAAAGGTATTCAATTTTCTTCAATTTCACCTTAGCTTTTGTATAGATTACCGAAATCATTAAAACTGTCCAGACTTTCCCCATCGATTTTGGTCAAAGTACCCAAAATCGGTTGACCAAATTGGACATGGATCCCACACCCACACCCACACCCATGTCGTGTCGACACGGGTGCGGCACCAAAAGTGAAGAGTCCGAGCAACTTAGATTTCATTTGATGCATTCTTCTCTACTGTTGAGGATGGGTTTGCGGAAGGGGGGTGGGTGGGGGTGAAGATACTCTTTTAGAAAGTGTTATTTCTATTTGTTCGTATGGTCTAAAGAAAGTTACTTTGTGCAGTTTGATGCTCAAACAGGAGATGATAATATGTGTCCTCTGGGATCAGCTGTGGCAGCCAATTCATTGCCTTGCGTGGAGCTGTTAGTAAAGGTCAATAAAATTCTATTTTCTCCTTAAAACTGTATATATTTGTTAGATTGTTCTAGTCTATCTATATGCTCTTTAAATTGCTGAATCCAATTGAGCATCTCGAAGAAGTTGTGTTGCAGAAAACATGTGGTGCTGTTGTTTGATGCATTATCATTCTGCACTTTGCTATGTGTTGGAACCATGCAAAATTTGTGCTAGATCAAATCACAAGAAACTGCTTTGATCATACGGGAGCCATGTGAAACTTGATTCTAATACACCTTTCCTGAAACTCTCAATTTTATTTGTTTTTGGTAATAAAACAAAATTTTATTAACCAAGAGTGAGTTATGTACAAGTATCAAAAAAAGCTGAAATGGACAACCCCATTACAACATATTAACTACCAGCTATCAGACTACAAAACTTGCTACTATTGACTAGCACAATTCAGCTAAATGAATGTTTAATGTGCTTATTTATTTTTGCTTAAAAAATGTGCTTACTCAAATATCATCGGGACTAAAATCAGACTTTAAGAAGTGATTAAACGTGATGTGATATTAGCCCAAAAGAAATGTTCCATGAAATGAGAAGTGAATGGAATTCAAAGTATGTAGGGTTATACTTGCAAAGAGAGGAGTCTGTGGAGTCTCGCCTGTTGGTTACCTATTGTTTGGCACACTAGGAAACATATCCAGAAGTCCATTTCCCTTGTGCTGCTGCTTGTTGTAGTTGTCATTCCCTTGTTAAATGGCTTGTTAATATGTGATCGTGTTGTTCCCATGAATGTATGTTTATCAGCTCTTCTTTGATCTTCCTTTTTCATTCTATAATTCATTCCATCTGAAGTTATGTGTTCTACTTTTAAACTCTATTGTAAATACAGAGTACACCTTGCACAGTAGCACGTTTAGTTCTTATGTATCCTTCTTTGAGCATGGTTTGTCGAAATGAAGACTTAATCCAAGATGGTCTATTAAGTAAGGCATCCTTTACCTGCTGGAGAAAACATTGCTTACATATTCAAAGATGGTTTATTGGTAGAAAAATAAAATTATATCTACTGAAGCAATTTTTACATATGCCACACCAAATTCGAAGTGTTGTTGTTTGTGGGAACACAAACACCTATTTCACTTATAAGAATCGTCTTTTTCAATTTTTCCATTTTGCTTTGTATTTTGCAATGTTGCTTGGTTAAGCGTGGCATCTGTCTACTTAAGGCTCAACTTCTTTTGTGTTACCAGGCAGGGGCTAATGTCAATGTTAAGACTGGTGAAGCAACAAGGTATGGTGAAACAACTCCTTTGCTCATTGCTGCTCATAATGGTAATGCAGAAATTGTTAACTGCTTACTACAAGCTGGAGCTGATCCTAATGCTGCTGATGAGGTAATTGAGAAGAAAATCTAACAAAATATAAATTCTTTGTTGTTTCAATATATTTTGGAAGAAATTTCCAAGGGATCCTTTTTCTTTTTATTGTTGGAAGATGATTCCAAGCAATTTTAAGTTTTATTTTCGTGTGTTTTGTTTATCTGCAAGCACATGTGAATCGTATTCCTTACTGTCACTTTCTAGTCTACTTCCCACTTTTCAGATTTGACATGCATAGTTCGGTTTGGGAATATGTTCTTAAACCTGAACCTAGAGTGAGAACTAATAATCAAAGGGGTCGTTTGGTGTGATGGACAAGGAAAAATAATCCCGGGATAAGTTTTTAGTACCCCTTAATTCTTTGTTTGGTTATGAAGTGTGGGATAACTTAAACCTTCGGGGTGGCCCAATGGTTTGAGCTTGGGACTTCCATGTTGGAGGTCTCAAGTTCGAAACCCCTTGCCAGTGAAAACAAGGAGTTTGCCTTCTGAGTTGAGCTCATCGCACCAGGCTTGCCTAGTGCGGGTTACCTCTCCTATGTGGTTTGTGAGCTATTGCATAGGAGCGGGGGTTTTACCCTGTGCGCACCCAAAGGGTAGCGGCTGCGGGTTTCCCTAATCATCAAAAAAAAAAAAAAAGTGTGGGATAACTTATCCCAGGATTAATAATTACGACTGGGATAAGTTATCCCTACTTGTGGGTGGAATACTAATCCCGGGATAACTTATCCGGGGTAAAAATGTAAAATAACAAAAACTCCCCCCATATACACCCTCATTTATACATCACTTTTACATACATGTATGTTCAAATAATTTTTAATACCATTAATAATAACATTCACTACCTTCACTAGTTGTTATTTTTATGATTATATATTTTTTCATTAAAAAATTACACTATATAAATATAATTTGTATTTTATGAATATATTAGAAGTTAATTTATTTGACTAATTCTTATGTTTATTTACATTTTGATTTCTCTTAAAAAGTTCACTCCACTATTGAATTACATATTTTTAATTAAATAATCTTTTAATCACTTGAAAATTTGTATTTTATATATCAATTAAAATGAAGATAATGGTTATTTTACTATGTATGAGTGATATGTGCTTAAATGAAGTGACATCAACAATTAAATCTTTTTTACTTTAACAAACTTAAGATAAAAGTTTTATTTTTAAGCTAAATAAGATGGATGCTTTATGTTTAAAAACACATGGCATAATTATGAGAATGCGCACACAGAAAATATTTAAGATAAATAAGATGATTTTTTTTTGTTTAAGAGTGAATAATTAAAGCTTGCAAAGAAAGTATAAAAAACTAAATAAAATGGAGGGTATTTTTGTAACAAATAGGTTATTCTTAGAAATTATGCCATGTATATAATTTGAATATGACAAACCAAACAACCAATAAAAAATAATCTCAGCATAACTATACCCATTATAACTTATCCATCATAACTAATCCCAACATAATTATGTTGAGAAAAATATTTGACTTCAATACTAGCACATTCTCCAATGTAGTGTCTTTTCATAGAATATGGATCAAATTTAGGTATGTAAATCAACTAACAGATGCTAATACAAATTTGAGTAATGAGAAGATGTCTCACCCACAACTTATGATCCTTCATCGTGTAGTATAACAGGAGATTGGAGCTCATTTTGAAGGTATGCATGAGAGATCTGGCACAAACAAGAAATATTTGGTTGAAAGGGGAGTGTCAATTAGAAAACAAATAAAACCAAGATTAGGGTCTACGTATTTTACAAATTGTGGTTTCTTAACTACCTTCTATAAGAAATTGTAAACCTGACCATTTTTGTTAGAATATGAATAGGAACATGAATAGTATATAGAATCCGACTTTGATAAAATTGTAATATAGTATCTATTAATAGGATCTCAGTGTAATGATATAGAGATGCAATTCAATAATATTTTTCTCCTATATTTCTCACATGGTATCAGAGCTTTTACGATATTGTTAGAGAATAAAAAAGCTTCCGCTGTCGGTGGATAGCTATAACCTATACATGTTTCCCGTCTAGCCAATGATTATGTTAGCAAAAGTTGGGGCAATACTATATGCATGAAGAAAAATCATGTTGAGAAAGACTAACTTGAGAAGCATTCGGGACAAAGAAAGTAGTCACCGTGCTTCTTCTCAGTGGCTTCTTAGATTTGATTTGTGTAGCACCGTGCATCTCTTCGATGACTACTTTCTCATATCCGATTTGCGTAGCACCGTGCATCTTTTCAGTGACTACTTTCTCATATCTAAATTGCATAGCATCGTGCATCTTTCACTAACTAATACCTCATATCTGATTCACGTAGCGTCGTGCATCTTTCTAAACTACTTTCTCATAACTGAGTTGTGTAGCACCGTGCATCTTTGACTCTTTATGGTGACTCATCAGATCTAATTTGCATAGTTCTGTGTCCTTTCGGTGACTCTGCAAATGGTAGTTTCACTTTTCATTAGTGTTGTGCGGAAACCAACACTAAGAGGTACAATGTCTCCCTGCAACCAAACCATAACCGGCGTGCAAGCCTGATCCGGCCAGTTTTTTGGCAGCTTTCTTGTTCAAGGGTCTACTCCTTTCTTGATTTCAAAACGATTTGTATATTTTATATCAGATTTCGAGGACTTTCCGGCAATCATTGCACTGTTTTCGGCAGATCTGAGTTTTCCAACAGTGTTCTCTTTGTTTCAGATTCATTTTATAAATTACTTTGACAGACAACAACAGAATTTTCTCCTCAATGGTAATCTTGCAATGTATTTCAGTTTCGTGACTGAAATATTTGAAAAGGAAAGATGAATAACAAGAAAAATAGTGATACTTCCTCTCCCGGGAGATCTGAGTTTTCCAGTAGTGTTCTTCTCTTTCAGATTCATTTTTGCCAAAGGGTTTACTAAGATATTTGGGCTGAATTAAAGTGATACTTTTCTCTCTCGTGGTTGAAATAACATTTCAGACAGGTTTAGAGGTAAACTGAGACCTGTTTCTTTGGGGTTGTGACAGATCCAGCTGGTCCGATCTGGGGTTCAGATAATTTAGCTGAAGAAAGTGCAGATAGTGCTTTGCTTTGCTGCATTCTGTAATATGTCTGTGAAGCTTTCTTATAGATTACTGTTTGCTGAAGTCTTATGCTCAATTGTCTCATGCCTTCTGCATTCCAGTGAGAACCAACATCTATAGATGTAAGAGCTGGTGTATTATGTGTGATACCTCTACAGATATGACTTGATGGGACCTGGGAGTCTTCTTTTTGTCCTGGTCTACTGTATCTTTAATATAGTAATATCTGATTCATTCTGATCTAAATAAGCGACCCAGTGTCTGTACTTAACATACATTTGTATGGGTTCCCTGGTATTCAGAACTTCAATTATGAACTTTGTTAATTTCTGAGCAAAGTCGCTGGAAATAAAAAATCAATTAGCAATTTCTGAGGACTGGTAATTCATACCGAAATTTAACTTTTGCTATCTCTACAGGATGGTAATAAGCCAATACATGTTGCAGCTACAAGAGGCAATCGGGCAGCTGTTGAAGCTTTATTGGCCGTCACACCACAGATTCAGAGTGTTCCTGAATGGAGTGTGGATGGAGTCATTGAGTTTATGCAATCTGATTATAGGAGAAAACAGGTACTTAATTTGTCTTTCTGTAAGATAAATCGCTGCTGGTTTTGGTCTACTGCCTTAACTCAGAGTTGGTTTTAAATATTGGTACTGGCTAGGTCAGTGACTATTTCCTTTCCTTCTCTCCTGCAAACTTCTGCATCCTTTTCATTATCTAAACTGTGATAATAGCAGGAAAGTACAGAAGCTGGGGAGGAAGCAAACTATGGCGCTAATCTAAGATGCCTACTTACGAGGCTGGAGGATGAATTCAAGGGATTGAAGCAAGAACGTATTATTCCAAAGAAAGATTTGCCTGAGGTCTGTTATTGGTGATCACTGTTTTCAATTTGTTATCAATTTGTACGTGAAAAGTATTAACTGTCTCCTTCTGTTGTATTTTTTTAAATTTGCCTTTTTGTATAATATCAAGAAAGTGGAATATCATCACAGGTTTTGCTAGTTTTATCCTTGTGATAGTAATCATTTAACAGAAATGAATAAGCTTCTATAGTAAGGATAGTGCTGGCAATTTCAGCCCATATTAATGAGATCAATTCATTTAACCCAGATTTATACTTTAATTGGGTAAATATGGGTTTTAGCCTATTTTTAAAATCCATAAAAATATGGACAAAATGGGTATCCATATAGATCCAATAACACAATAACAGATCCCTCGGCCTGCAGAGAAAAGGACCAGGCCAAAGACCAGTACCTCTCCCAAAAGTTACCATTTCTCCAGAGACACAGTTGCTGCTGCTTGAGTGAATAAAGGCAAAAAATATAATACTAGAAGCCTCATTACAAATAATGAGATGAAGAAGCAGAAAAATCTTTTTTTTTTTTCCTTCCCTTTTTTTAAAATCTTAAATACCTAAGTAAAATGATATGTAAATTATGATATGGAAGGGGAGGCTGTGTTGTTGTTGGTTATCGTGCATGTATTTACTAACATTTGTTTGGTTAATATGCAAAATCACTCCTTTATATGTAGGAATACAAAATAGTTTGGCTTTAATATGAACTTGATAGGCATTTTTTTTTCCGGAAATGAAAAAGGAATTTGATTGAACTGCAGGTATCCAATAACAACAACAGCATGATTTCATTCTCTAATTTGATAGCTAACAATTAGCTAAATTTAAAGCTTGGTGGAAACCAACATAAATGGAATAGTTTTGGATCTTTGTAGTCTCCATAAGAAAGAAAGAAGTTTAGAATAGCAGAGACGGATTCAAAATTTTAATTGGATGAGTTCTAGATTCTGTTTTTTTCTTTTAACATATAAGTTCAAAACTTAATATGTATAGATTTGTGAAGAATGGCAGTGGAGTCTGGTTTGCTGAAAGATTATCTCCATTGTTAAAACTTGTAAGACAGAGCATAGTGTTTTTCATTTGTATGCTTTCTTTTCTCTTTTTTTAATTCCTTATTGGGTTTTGGTGTGTGTGGGGTGTGGAAGGGGGTGGGGTGGGGATCTTGGATTTCTTTTCTTTTCTTTTTTAACCTCTTTTATATTATTTCTTGCTCTTTGAGGTTGAAAAAATCTGCAAGATTCTTTAAGGTGTGAATTTTTGTTTTTTTACATTGTGCCAATGAAATTTATACATTGGCTTTAGGATATTAAAGTGGGTTAAAACCCTTTTATTCAAGCCATATTTTACCCATATTTAATGGATGGATTGCAATCCAATCCATTTTTGCTCAAATCCATATCCAATTTGCCACCTCTAAGTTAAGGGTAGTTATGGCACTAAAGTAAACCATTTCTGAAAATGGAACAAAGTGAGTATATATTTTACTTGTGTATATATTATCTTTTGTTCTTGCATTTTTTCTGGTTAAGCAGTCTTGACGACAGATTGGAAATCTCTCCTTGTGAATATGATAATACATATGTGAAACATGTAAACAACAAAATTGAACTTGCATGTGCAAGTATATGTAGTAAATAACATAATAAACACTGCATCTTGGGGCATGAAATTAAAGTCTTCAAGAAGTCCAATGAACAATGTTGTCGGAACAGTTCCACGTTTGATTACAGTACTGACCCAATGATCCTAGGGCATCAAAATGCATAAAGTTTCTCTTATAGTCGTGAAATTATACCAGCGATGTGGTTCTAGACTCCTGTTTCAGCTGCCTTCAAATTGCACACAGTATCAATATCTTTTTATACTCTTTGTTATTACTTGTATGCATCTCTTTTATTTGAAGTACCTCAGAACCTTGTGTTGGAGAAAACACTTTACCGGTTAGTGCTAAACATCTTGCATTGGCATAATTGATTGATTTGTAGGTGACTCCTGAAGCAAAGAAGAAAGCTGCAGATGCAAAGGCGAAGGGAGACGAGGCATTTAAGAGGAATGATTTTCCTAGGGCTATAAATGCTTATGCACAGGTACCTATTAAGCTTATTGGATTTCTCCTGAATGTTTCCCCAGTAATTATCCTCTTCTTGGTGCAAGTATATGTATTTGTTGAGAATATAACTAAATATTAAAAAGTGTGCTCTAAGCTAATAGCTTAAGCTTTTATATAAGATGGTCATACACTTCAACATGGTATCAGAAAAAAAAAGAATTTCCACATGATTGGCCATGAAAAAAAATCAGGCCCGCACGTGAGGGGGCGTGTTGAGAATAAAGTGTGCTCTCTCTTATAACTTAAGTTTTTAGATGAGATGGTCACGGCTCACTTGTGTTTGCTGATACTCTGCAGGCAATCAATTTTGATCCAACTGATGGCACTCTGTTTTCGAATAGAAGTCTTTGTTGGCTCCGCCTGGGGCAAGGTGAATCTGCCTTGGTTGATGCTAAGGCTTGCAGAGAACTTAGACCAGATTGGGCAAAAGGTTGTTATCGGCATGGTGCAGCTCTACGTCTATTGCAGGCATGCCCTTCTCTCCCTGGAGTCAAATTTTGCAAACTTGTATGTATACCTATATGATATTCTAATATTTCATTTTCAGAGGTTTAAAGACGCAGCCAATGCTTTTTATGAGGGCATACAGATCGACCCTGAAAATAAGGAGCTCGTAACTGCTTTCAGGTATGCATGTTGAGACTTGAAGCTCTTCTGTTTCTGTATCCAAGTTTTTCTCATTGTTGTTAGGTACTAATATGATTGCAGGGAAGCTATTGAGGCTAGTAGAGAATTTCATGGCACGGAACAAGAATAAGTTAGAAAGCACATTCTATTCTGTAGGAAGAACATTTTGATGTTTTGCCCTCTAGTGATTTGTTCTGTTGCATCTTCAGCAATCTATACTCACTGTTTTTGTTAATCTCAACTTTTCCCTTCTGCGTTATTTTTCAAAATTTATTTCATTCTGTTTTTTTTTTTCATGCTTGGGGTTATGCATTTTCTTAATTTTATTTATGAAAGTAACAAATAAAAGGAGAAATCATATATAGATATATAATGAAAGGATGAGCGAATAAATAAACAAGAACAAAACCAATTTCTCATATAAGTAGTTCTATTAACAACAATGAGAACTCAAGAGTAACTTTACACATTTTTGAATAGAAAAAGGCTGGACCTTTTAGATAAGTATTCGCACCCGCCCCGCCCAGCACCGCAACCTGCAAAGTTTTTTTCCAAAAAAAAACAATAATAAATTAATTCGCCCCGCATTTTTAGATTACATGTGAATCTGAGTTGTGCAAATGTCTTGGTGAGGAGGTGTTGAGAGGTTTGATATAGTGGGGATAAGGAGAGACAAAGATAGGCCGCATAAGTATTGAGTAGAGGTACTTTAGACAAGATATATTCCATCTCCAGATGAAAGAGGACATGACTTTATCTAAGAGAATGTGGAGGTTGCTTATAATTCATGTATAGTCTAGATTAGCGTTTGTTGTAATATTAACATTCAGACATTTTAATCTTAATGAAAACAAATAAGGCCTCGGTATTTTTGTAAAATAAGATATGTATTTATTTGTACACATATTATTCTCCACATTTATATTGTGTAAAATTATACTCTCTCCTACGTTCCCTTAAAATTTGAATTTTAACGCTTTTTCCGAAGCTCGGCAAGTTTTTGTCATTTTGTGTAACAAACAAACTGCAAAACCGTTGCTCCGTTTTTTCCCTTCTGTTTCAGTTAGTTAGTGTATAAAGAGCACAAGTTTCTGCAGAAACCCCAAAAAAATCTTCTCTCTTTCTTCAGTTATGGAAATGGAATACCAAAACCTGCTCCTCTTACTGAAGGTTTTGATTCATTCTTCCACTACTTTTTCCTTTCTTCAAATACTGTAATGTTATTGAATCTTGAAATTGTTTTGAGCAGCTCAAAAACAGGTTATGACGTTTCTGGAGTCTGCTTGTTCAGGGAATGTTGAGCTTTTCAAGAACAGTTTTTTCAATTGAAAACACTATTTTCCTGTTTTATTATTTTGGGGTCTTTAGTGGATGATTGTGAAACAGAATTGGCAAAGGGACTAGATCATGATGGAAAAGGGTTGGCCGCTACGGTGGCGAATGTAAAGGATCCTGAGAAAAGAGGGTCATTGTACTTTACCGCTGGGGAAGGAAAAATTGACTTGTGCAAGCAAGTACTTGGTGGAAGATTTGAAGATTGATGTCAATGAAAAAGATAAAGAAGGTATTCTCTACAGAGTAATAAATTTGTCTTTCATTAATCATGAGTTCTTGTTTAGTAAGAAATTGGCTGTTGAGATTGAAACTTGAGGGGTTCTTTATCTTTTTGCCGCATTAAAGTATTGAGGGTGAGATGCCTAGTATATTGTTTTCTAATAATGGGTGAGTTGGAAGTTTTGAATAATGTGTATATTTTGTATTGGTAACTGTTTTTTATTTAAGTTTAGTTTTTCAATATATTTTGTAACTAGTAACAATTGGAAGGGAGTAGTTGTGAGACCAACAACATTATATGGGATTCATATTACTGATTCCAACTTGTTTGAGATTGAAGCTCTTCTTGATTGATTGATATGTGCTGAAAGTGATATTGCTCTTAATATATATTATTTATTCATAGGTGAGACTGCTGTTCTTAATGCTGCTAGGCACGGACACACTGCTACTGTCCAGTACCTCATATATAAGGGTGCAGATCCTGCAATACTCAGCACCTCAGGGGCAGCTTTGCATAATGCTGCAAGAAATGGTAGGTTTTTCCTCTTCGTTGGTAGAAGTGATTGAAGCTTCTTATTGTGTCAGGGAAAGATTCCTGGGTTCATATGCATTTAATTGCTGTAATGTTGTAGCTCTTGTGCAGTTTAGGAAAAAACATATATATATTGAGGCTAAGCTCTCTGGCTTTTTTTCATTCATTGTGAGGAGAAAATGGAAGAACTGATCAAAAGGTCCAGCAGACTATCTGAGGGCTGTTGTAAAACCTAAGCAAATCAAGGGAGGAAGAGACCAACATTAACTCTCGAAAGGCAATGCCTCAAGACTTGGATAATATATTCATGCAATGTGCTATAAAGAAGGTTCTTAATGGTTTCTCTTCAACTGTTCTCCAAAAGTGGACTTCAAAAGGGTTTTGCATTGGTAAACAACAAGAAATCCACTAGAATCTGTGGAATTTATGATTTGAGCAAGTTTTGGAGAGTAAGAACTAAAACCATGATGAATTGGTCAAAGTTCTTATCTTAAGCAAATAAATGCAGAAAAGGTAACCAAATAAGGTTATAATTAGCAGTAAGAAGCAGAGATGGATAGGGTGGGATGGGGTCTGTTTTCTATTTGCTGCATAGTTTTCAGGTCACTTTTCTATTTTCAGCTGTTGAAAACCTAACTTTGGCTTCTGTTTTGCTGGAAATGTTATGCTAACTTGTAAACTAAATTTGTAGAGACTTAGGGTGTGTTTGGTATGAAGGAAAATGTTTTCCATGGAAAATGTTTTCCTAGAAAATGTTTTCTTGGAAAACAAGCTGATTTTTGACTTATTTTCTCATGTTTGGTTGATGAATAGAAAATATTTTCCGAAAAAGATTTTTAGTGTTTGATTTATGAATGAAAAATATTTTTGAAAAATTTCTTTTATTTTTACTAGAGTAGAAAATAATTGTTGAAATTGAAAATATTTTTTAAAAACAAACTTAATTTTTTTTTGGGGGTGGGGGCTGGTAGGGGGTGGGTGGGGGGGTCGAGGGTAGGGGTGAAAAATTGAAATTTTGAAGTTAAAAATATTTTTTAAAAATAAACTTAATTTTTTTTTGGGGGGTGGGGGGTGGGGGGGCTGGTAGGGGGGAGGGTCGAGGGTAGGGGGTGAAAAAATGAAATTTTGAAGTCGAAAATATTTTTTAAAAACAAACTTTTGAAATTTTTTTTGGGGAGTAGGGGGGGTGGTAGGGGGTGGGTTGGGGGCTAGGGTAGGGGGGTCGAGGGTAAGGGTGAACAAATGAAATAATGTTTTTTAAAAACAAATTTAATTTTTTTTCCTTTTGAAGAGGGTGGGATAGGGGGCTGGGGGGAGGGGGGGCGAGGGTAGGAGGTGGGGGGTGTAAAAAAATAAAAAAATTGAAATTAGAAATATCTTTTAAAAATAACTTTTAATATTTTTTTGGGAGGGGTGGGGGGTAAGGGTGAGGATGGGGTTAAAATATTGAATTTAAAAACAAACTTTAAATTATTATTTTTTTGGGGGTGGTTGGGGGGGCTGGTTTGAGGGTAGAGACCAAATAAATTGATTTTTTCAACAATTTTTTTTTTAATTGGAAGTTGGAAGAGAGTTTTGAAAAATGTTTTCCTTAAGTTTTGAAGGAAAGTCATTTCCCTTAAGTTTGACGAAAATGAGTTGATTTGGAAAACATTTTCCAAAACTTTTAATCCAACCAAACATGAGAAAATTGGAAAACATTTTTGTTTTCCTTCATACCAAACACACCCTTATATTCCCTGAACATTTGGTCTTTCTCGCTTCATTTGCCTTTTCTTTCCTTTCTTTCTGACAATGTTACATCTTTTTTTTCTCAATCGATGACTTGAAATGACCCTAGATTACTAGAGCTTCAAAGAACTGTAACGTAAATATGTATTCTGATATTGTAATTTATGCAGGATTGGATGATCATGTCAATGAAAATGTAGTAAAGAAGCTGACTGATTTTCATTCAAGTTAGAATGCAGTCAAAACTTCTGTGTCTCATTTTTTTGTTTGTCTCTACTGATAAAAGCCAGAGGTGTATCCAGGATTTCGGTAAGATGGTGCACGATTACGAAAAAATGTTTCTTAAATATAAATTTGATCAGTTTGACTTTTAGGTTCTTAATATGAACCATTAAATTTTAAAAATTATAGGTCCAAAAAATATAATACTACTAGTTTTAAATTTTAATATACACATTTGATTTAATTATATAAAAAAATTTATACTTCTAAAATTTTTAAAGAATTTTCAATGTAACACACTTAAATTTTTTGAAAGATTTAAGAAAAACAAAAGAAAAATTAGTTGAAACGCCAAAAGTGTAACCGATAACCACTTGGAGAGGTGTTACTCAAAAACAGAAGATAAATATAAGATTTAAATTTCTATCCTCACTCAGAGAGGTGCACCATATCATGATCATATTATTAAATGATACTTTGAACGTGAGTTCACATATCTATATTTAAATATTTTTTTAACATATAACACTACTATATATGATCTAGAGAGGGGAGCATGGGTTCACGTGAACCCATGGCACCCCCTCTAGATACGCCCCTGATAAAAGCGTATCATGAACACGAAGAAGATCCATCTAAGTTAACTCGATGATAAAAGAATGGTGGAAGACCATCTTGACATGCATTTGGTGGGCCATATGAAAAGAAAGGAAAGCTAAATGTTTTGAAGGGAAGTGCCCCATAGATTTTGTTTTTCATTTGAGTACTTCCATAGCTACTTCATTCTTAGTGCCTTACTCTTCTAAGTAGTATGAATGTGAATGGGGTATCATGACCATAAGCACATAAAAGAAACACCACAAGTGAAAATATATTTGCAGGTTTATTTTCCTTTGTTGCCACATAATCTGAATTGAGAATCTAATCATGTTCTAATGTATGTCAGTAGTTGAGTTCTTAGTGTCAGCTTTTAATTCTCTATTGCTAAAACAATGAGAGAAATCAATCAACATGTCATGCCTTATTGCTATATTGCTATTTATAGTGGTGACCTGCGTACACTTATGTGTGTAGCTACATGCATTCTTCTATTATCTTTACATAGAATGACATTTTATTGTTCATTATCTTTGTCTGCAGGACATATTGAATTGGTTGAATTGTTTCTGTCGATGGGTGTAGACATTGATTTGAAAAGTGATGTTGGAACACCACTTATGTGGGCTGTAGATCACAGCCAGGAAGATGTTGTTAAGGTTTTGCTGGAACATCATGCTAATGTGAGTGCTTTGTTATTGCTTAACACTTCTCTCTAGACAAAGTGGAAAGCAGTTGTATGGTTTAAGTGTTCCTTATCTAATGACTTAAAGCTTCCTAGTGGGTTACTCAGTTAATTGTTGTTTCATAACAGGGAGAGACGTTTTCAAACATCACCATCATCCTTATCGGAAAAAAATTCACCCCACCCCTCCCCTTCCCCTCCTCTCAATAGACAAAAAGAGTCAGGCCACGTGTGAGGGTGTTGATAATAATACAAGTATCCCCTATCTAGCAACTTAAGCTTTTACCTTTTAGCTGAAGTGGTTCCACAACCAAACAAGTCCTTACACTCTTTTCTTGTGCTGATGTATTCAAACTCTTGTTTTATGTACTTTCTTCCCTTTGCCAAACAGTGTAGAGCTCTCTCTCCCAGCCTGTACAGGTTTCTTTTCTCACCCCCCCCCCCCCCTCCCCCTTCCCTCTTTCTTTTTCTGTTTTTGATAAGTATTGACTTCACCATTTTCTTCATGCTTTTCAGTTTCACATAGTTGTTTGTTAGTGTTTGTGTTGCGAAAAAGAAGTTAGCTTAGATATAGTATATAAATTAACTTTTGATTGGTTATTCAACTTAAGATATTTTTTCTTTAACTTAAGATGATTTTCTCAGCTTTTTTTGCATACAGCACCTGAGGATGGGAAAAAATCAAGTCTTTCTGGGTTGTACTTTTTCTCATTTTGATGCATTCTTCCCTACTGTTGAGGATGGGTTTGCAGAAGGGGGTGGGGGTGGGATGAAGATACTCTTTTAGAAGGTGTTATTTCTATTTGTTCATATGGGTCTAAAAAGGTTACTTTGTGCAGTTTAATCAAGTAGGAGATGATAATATATCTCCTCTGCAAGCAGCTGTGGCAGCCGATTCTTTTCCTTGCGTGGAACTGTTAGTAAAGGTTAATAAAATTCCATTTTCTCCTTAAAACTGTATATATTCATTAGATCTATATGTACTTTAAATTGCTGAATCCAATTGAGCATCCCCAGGATTCAACAAGCTCTTCTAAAATAAAACTAGGAGCCAGAAACTAACAAAGATTCTTTTAAGATAAAACCATAATAGAAAATAGAATGAAAGGTTTCTCTTAGAGATATATTGTTAGAGTTAATTGTACAGCTTGATTAATTAACATGTAGCTTCCAGAAGTAACTAGAAGAAAAGTAGTTAGTTAGGTGTTGTCAGATTAGTCATTAGCAAATTGTATAAATACATTAGAGTAGCTAGTCTTTTGTAACAGTTTTTACTCGATCAAATACAGTTTCTTTCTTCTTCTCTCCTTCAACTATTTTTCCTGTATATTCAATTATGTGTGGGAAATTAACATATATTAATCTCATCATCCTTTGTGATAGAAGGGAAGATTAAATTTATTGGGAAAAACACGAGGCTAAAGCCTCCAACAGATAGTGAGAAGGATTAATGTAATTAAATCAATGGTCAAACCATTTGTCACCCTAAATGGTGGTAAAGGGACAAAGACAATAATAGTCATTTAGTGGATGAAACGTTATTCCTCCAACGTCTATGGAATTAATGAGAATGAAGACGCCAAAGAATCAAGATATGATGAAGGCCTTTAATTATATTCAAGGCTATTATGAGGAGAATAAATTGATTAATGAGGTATTCAATCATATTAAAAGCCATTAACAAGATATCAAGAATGAATCTAGACAATGATATGAATATTTTCTTTTGGGATACTAAAATCATTTTTCCAACATATTATGCATTAAACTGAAAAAAACTTCTTGACTACATAGGATTATGAATTTTGTGCATCTTACTTTTCATGGCATAATCCAAAGCAAGAACTCAACTCTACCTTCGGCGACGTAGTCACACCATCGCCAACATAGTCAAAACCTAGTCGCAACTTAGCTTATGAGAACTGTCTTTTTCAATTTTTGCTTTGTATTTTGCAATGTTATTTGGTTAAGCGTGCCATCTGTCTACTTAAGGCTTAACTTCTTTTGTGCTAAAAGGCAGGGGCTAATGTCAATGTTAAGGCTGGTGAAGGAATGTGGTGTGGTGAAATAACTCCTTTGCTCGTTGCTGCTCGTAAAGGTAATGCAGAAAGTGTTAAATGCTTACTACAAGCTGGAGCTGATCCTAATTTCACTGATCAGGTAATTGAAAAGAAAATCTAACAAAAAAATCTAATTTCTTTGTTGTTTGAATATATTTTGGAAGAAATTTCCAATGAATTTTTCTTCTTTCAATTGTTGGAAAGATGATTCCAAACAAGTCATTGTTAATTTCTGAGCGAAGTCATGGAAAAAAGTCAATTAGCAATTTCTGAGGACTGTTAATTGAAATCGAAAAATAACTTTTGCTATCTCTACAGGATGGTTACAAGCCAATACATCTTGCAGCTAGAAGTGATAGTCGGGAGTCTGTTGAAGCTTTATTGGCCGTCACATCAGAGTGATTGAGTTTATGAAATCTGAGAAATTGAGAAAACAGGTGCTTAATTTGTCTTTCTGTAAGATGATCGCTGCTAGTTTTGGTCTTCTGTCTGAACTCAGAGTTGCCTTTTATATAATGGTACTGGCTAGGTCGGTGACTATTTCCTTTCCTTCTCTCCTGCAAACTTCTGCTTCGTTTTCATTGTCTAAACTGTGATAATAGCAGGAGATGACAGAAGCTGGAAGGCAAGCAAACAATCGCCCTAAGAAAGATTTACCGGAGGTCTGTTATTAGTGGTCACTGTTTTTTATTTTATGTGTGAATTTTGGGTCATTTCAATTTACTTGGATTTTACCCATATTTATATGGATTGGATTGCCACCTCTAAGTAAATGGTAGTTCTGGCACAAAAGTAAACCATTTCTGAAAATGTAACAAAGTAGTTCTTGTATTTTTTCTGGTTAAGCACTCTTGAAGACAGATTGGAAATCTCTCATTGTGAATATGATAATACATCTGTGAAACATGTAGACAACAAATTGATTTTGCATGTGCAAGTATATGTAGCAAATAACATAATAAACACTGCATCTGGGGGCATGAAATTAATGTCTTCAAGAAGTCCAATAAACAATGTTTGCTTACGGTTCAATGACTAGGGCTTCAAAATGCTTTAACTTCTTTTATAGTCGTGAAATCATACCAGCGATGTGGTTCCAGACTCCCGTTTCAGCTACTTCAAATTGCACTGAAGATCAATATCTTTTTATACTCTGTGATTCCGTTGTATGTTGTTGGAGAAACCTGTTTACAGAATAGTGCTAAATATCTTGAATCGGCATAATTGAGTCGTTTATAGGTGAGTCCTGAAGCAAAGAAGAAAGCTGCAGATGCAAAGGCTAAGGGAGACGAGGCATTTGACAGGAAGGATTTTGCTGCGGCTAGAGATGCTTATACGCTGGTACCTATTGGGCTTATTGAATTCTTCCTGTATTCCCAACACTAACCCTTCCCCAGTGAAATACCTGCAAAAGGGAAAAAGAAAGAAGATAATGATGAGATGAAGTAGTCATCCTCTTCATGTTGCAAGTAATTAATAATGTGTATGCATTACTTACAGAGCTCACTTGTGTTTGTTGATACTCTGCAGGCAATCAGTTCTGATCCAACTGATGGCACTTTGTTTTCCGGTAGAAGTGATTGTTGGTTCCACCTGGGGCAAGGTGAATCTGCATTAACTGATGCCAAGGCCTGCAAAAGACTTGGACAAGATTTGGCAAAGGCTTATTATCGGGAAGGTGCAGCTCTACGTCTATTGCAGGCGTGCCCCCCTTCCTCTCCTGGAATCAAATTTTGCCAACTTATATACCTATATGTTCTGATATTCTAATATTTCCTTCTCAGAGGTTTGAAGAGGCAGCCAATGCTTTCTATAGGGGCATCCAGATCGACCCTAATGATGAGCTCATAACTGCTTTACAGTATGCTTGTTGAGACTTGGAAGTTGTTTGTTTAGCAACTGCAGATGACATATTTCTCTAGCATCGAAGAAACTTACTCTAATGCAGTAGTTTCTATATGATTGCAGGGGTACTGTTGCTGAAAGGGATGCTGAGTCTGCTAAAGAAATTCATGACATGGAACTAGAATTAAGTTGTGTGTCATACAAGAGTTAGAAAAGCACATAATGACAGAACCAAGTAGCCACTTCTTTTGTCCTTTTCTTTGGTAGTTGTAAAAATGGATCATTTTGATGTTTTGCTCTCTAGTGATTTGTTCTGCTGCAATTTATAGACTCACTATTTTTGTTAATCTCAACTTTTCCCTTTTGCATAATTTTTCAAAATGTATTTTCATTCCTGTTTATTTTTTCTAAGTGGAGGACCATACTTGGGGTTATATTAAGTACAGAACTTCTAAAAAATATCTGTAAAATATTTAAGATGTAACTGGCCAAACTAAATGTAGTATTGTAGTGGATAAAATTATGTCATTTTGATATCAAAAATCAAAATTATGTACACTCTAAACAGAAAGGTAAAGATGAGCAAAATAATATAGCACAACTATTCGTAACTATTCAATACAAAAGATTATTATTGCAACAAGTGAAAACATTTATGCAGGTAAATATTAAATGTAAAAATACAGCCACAGGAGCTATAACGACAGTTAAAATAGTCTTGGAATACAGCAACGTAATGTCAGGGGGATTATATTTCACTTGGACACTAACACTTTCCAGAAGCTTGACACAAACGGAGCAGGATTTGAACAAGGTTACCTTAATGTCAAGTAGCAGATTGTTGATTGTTATGACAATGTGAATATTCCTCTGCTATCTGCAGTCGAACAAAATACTGGCAACCTGTACAGTATGACATCTGATTGTGCAAAACTAAAGATCACTGGAAGATTTGCACTCAGCAGAGAGTATGATACATGCTTGAACGTAAAAACGATAGCTACTGTAACTGCGAAAAGTTTAGATGTACAGAGTGATGACTTGATAATTCGATAAATACAAGACTCACCTATTTATCGATGTCAAATACAAATTTAATACTTGTCAAACGTGAGATAATATATAACTTAAGACTTCAATGATCCTTAGAGAAAAAGATCCATTCTTCATGAAAATAGGAGGCAGAACCAATGATGATTTCCTTTTCGATTCATCCCTGCAAACTACAACTTACTTCAAAAGAAATGTTAAAGCAGATAATCATGGAAACTGGAAAAATCTGCAACTTGCAATTCGTCGAACAAGTTGCTGGGAAAATGGTCAGAAGGCACTGGCAACCAAAATAGCTACTGAAGAGTCATGATACTGATAGAGAGTCCTGGAAACGAGGTCTGGTATCACCAGAACAGTACCAAAAGAGATTAAAAAAAAATCAGTACAGTACCACCAATACGATCACCGAAAATAAGCAAAGTGTGAATGGAACAGTCACCGGAATTAGGAAGGTTGCTGCCGGAATGGTCACGTAAGATTATAAAAAGAAAAAAAAGCTTCAATCGGACAAGTGACATAACACCTTGCCAGTAAATCATAAGTAAGAGCCTTTATGTCAGAGTAGAGACCTAATTTTGAGTATATCAAACCCTTTTTTCTTTTTTTGGTTTCCCACCCGGTGTCCGGAGCCCGACTACATCCAGATCGGCGCTGCAAGACTCATTCGAGGGTGGCGCTTCAAACAGTATTTTCTCCCGAAACCTCTGGTAGTATTGATTTGATAAAGCCACACGGACATAAAGGCTCTACATCTTAGTATATTCTGGGAAAACATTCAATTCAATTCAGTATCTCACTTTGAGTATATCATAGTTCTTCCTCTTAGTCTTGTTTCTCAATTTGATAGAACTAAGCAGATACTTGATCATGTCAGCCAACGTAGTATACATGATGTAAATATTCTTTCTGAGGAATTATACATCAATTAAACATGACATTAAGGTACAGATCAAAACCGTAACAGAAGATGATAATTTTTATAAAATTTCCCTCTTCCAAACTTATATTATCAGTATGGCGTACCAAAAAAATATTTCTGCGGCTAGACATTGGTACTTGCTTTGACACACCAAAGTTAAACCAGATGTAATTCAGGTAAAAACATGAATATATATGTATTTGGTCTTCCCTTGACCATAGGACATGCATATGCAAGGTCATATTAGCATAAACAGCAAAAGGATTTGATTTCTTTCTTAACAGTAATAAGTCAGCTTCCCCTGAGCGTGATTAGCTTGACTACAAAGTTACAAACAAAGAAGGTTAACAATACTTGAGAATGCTACCATAACAAGAAATTTCCCTAGTGTGTTGTATATGCCTTGGAGATTTCAGCTATAAGCTATCAGGTCTATAATTTTTTTGACAAGGATCTGTCAAGTATGTGCTGTCTAAAAGGAAACAGTAGCATATTCAAAAAAATTCCAGTTCAAGTTGCTAACTCCCGTGTGACAACCAGATTTTATCTACGTGATCACACAGACATGAGAAAGAGCAATCCACCTTACTCCTTTGAAGGTCATGCATGAACCTTCGTAGCTGAATTCCAGCATTGGAATTGCTCTGATAGGTGTTAATAGTTACGGAAGAACACTACTTAAAATGCATTGCTGGCAAGGGGAAAGAAGAAGGGCAAGAGAACGAGAGCTAACGGACAAAATATCAGAAACAGAGTAAAAGACAAAACAATTCATCCATTGTACAGCAAATCACACACCTAACTCTGCAAACACAATGCCAACTGATACAACATCAAGCTACTAGATCAGATTACGAACTAGCTATGCATAAATGAACAGTTAGATAGAAGCCTAAGAAATTCAAACAGATGGAAAGATGGATAACGATGGGAACATAAAGCAACAAGGAGCCGAGATAACAGCTTGAGAAGAGGGGTAAAACTAGAGATCAGGCTTTTTTGCATTCACAATTGCTGATTTTATTCATCCAAACAACAAAAACACTTGGAGCCAAATAAATGAAGAAATGTGACTCTTTTTCTTTCGGATAGGCAATAAAAAATTGTACAAATTGACCTAAAGATTACTTAATGATAATGAATACATAGATTCAGCAAAAACTAGCCAAATTTTTACTTGAGTACAATGGCAGCACTTTGATCGACCCTCATTTGTATCATAATCAAAACAAAGTAACAATCCCAATTCATAGCCCCTATCCTACTTAAACTCGAAAACAGGGTTGAGGCAAAAAGAATCACCTTTAACGATCTTTAGGCAGACAGACACCTCCAAGCAACAAATCTGCTCTAAAATTAGAAATGTTCCTTCACACATTACACTTTCCAACCACTACTTCACCCAAACTCAGCACCAGAAATAAGCCAAATTATCAACAAAAGATCTCCAGTACCCACATTTCGCCCAATGTAATCCAAGAACAATTAACAAAATCTGTTCTTTCAAATTTCCCATATAATTTGAAACTGCAACAAATCAAAATCCACTACCTATAACTAGGCCTGATTTGTTCCTCACTGACAACCGAAAGCAACCCACCTTCGGCAGCCTCATTCTCATCCAAAAACAAATCCTCAGTTCCCCTTAACGCCCCATGAATTCCCAAAACGAAAAACCCAATAATCAAAGCAACCAAAACATTGAGACCCACATGAGTAAGCGCCAAGGCAACAACAGTAACCAATCCTAACCCAACCAAAACAAGCCGATCATCCAATTGGGTTCCCGAAATTACAATCGCTTCTTCACGGAAATAGTACAACCAAGCTACAGAAATAGCCAAAAAGACAATCATAGAGATAGGGTGGTAAACAAGGCTGAGGAATAGAATAACAAGGATTACCATAACGTAATTGACACGGAAATAATTAAGGTTCCTCCTCACCCGGGTAATCGCTTCAGAATAGTTATAAGGAAGAGAGATAATGGTGTAGTCAAAGAACACACGCCATGAACGGCGTGTAGCCATGTCGGATCTGGTGACCGTCGATGGCCGCGGCGGCTGTGGTTGTGGTGGTCGTGGTAACGGTGGACGAGGTGGTTTTCTGGCGGAATGAGGGGTGGTTTGTGGTGATGCTGGTGGGGTAGAAGTTGGAAGGGTACCATAATTGGAAAGATTTGCAGAAATTGCCATGAATTAGTATTGGAGGGGAGAAGGATTCAGATGATGAATGTTAGATTCAGAATATTCTCCTTGTTCAGAATTTCTTCTCCCCTTTTATACCTTAAAAGAAATTGGAAGCTTCAACAATGGACGTGGAAGACAGCTTGAGGATGAATTGTCCTCTTGCTTTATAAGCATGACAGCCATGACCATGACTACGGCCAACATGTACCAAGTGATGTCAATCATTAATTTGTCACTTGGATCAGTATTTAGTTACGCGATCGTTTAGTCCGTTTCGAAAAAAATATTTATTTCATTTCCAAAATACATAGTAATAACAATAAGATTTATTTCATTAATCGTGAAGGGTATACAAAGTACATGTAGAGCTTTCATATACTAGTAGTATTAAAAGCTAGCTCGGTCTCATTTATTAACTTGAGATAGTACATAGTATGAAATCAATCTCGATCGTGATTTATTATTATTTTATTGATGATATATGACACTTTTTTAAGCTTAGCAGTTGACAAATTCATAGTTAACATTAAGGTTGCCCCTCTGGTAGCCCAATCCATTAGTGTCCAATCGGTTAAACACGTTTACATCCAAATCAAGCCCTCCATTGCTGCATTGATCTACTATTCTCACTGTTTCTTGTGTTCCTGTTCCTGTGTTTGTCACCTACATAGTAGCGGAGAATTAGAAATTTCATTCAGAAGATTTAAAATATAAAAAATAATTTTAATCATATATAAACACCCTGTGCCCGTACTAGCTCACCCAATACACATGCACATGATTAATTTTCCCTTTAGCTTCACTATACATGGGGTAACTTCATTGGACACATTAAAATTAAAGTATCTAATAAGCATCAATTGTTGAAAAACACTTTTATAGACTATGATAGTGTAAAATTGAGCGTACCCTCAAGCATCTACCGCATGAAGCTTGGCCCCTAGGTCCAGCTGGACCACAAAAAGCGGTCCAGCCATACCTCTGGCGCCACGCTAGAGGCTTGTCAGCATCCCAAGTAGCGCAGTAAGCGCTAGCAGTTCTCAAATCCCAGTTTATGTTCTGCGGGTTGTACAAATGATAGGTTGCCCTAACGTTGGTAGCGCTCTGCGCCGCGGCCATCGCCATCATCATGCTGATGACAAAAAATGCTACACACAACTTGTTAACTCTCTCCATAATATTGTAATTTTAATTTCTTGTGAGGTTTATGTGAAATGGTGAAGGATAAATGGGTGTTATTTATAGGGACAGTAGCTAGTTAGTTAGTGTGGAAAATAATGGACATACAGTATACTTGAGTTGGAAAAGTCATTGCTATTAATTTCATGTAGGAGTTGTGAAAGACTGGAACTCTCCATGACTCATATTCTCTAAAATAATTTTCCAATTCTATATTAATCATGAATGTACAATTACTTTAAGTGAAAGTGAAACTTCGGGGAAAAAAAAGAAGGCTTTACTATATATCAATTTGACCAATTCAAAATGAGTTATGAAAGTTCGTAGTGAATTATTCTGACTAGACATGTGGAAAACAAAATGAAATTCAAGAAATTAATCCATGAATTGCGCAAATACTACTTTTCAATATAATCATGCATAATATAGAAGAAAGCAGAAAAATCAAATTAAATGATGTTAATCTTTACCAGAATATTAAAAAAATCGATTTCTCTACTATCTATTGTAGTTTTACCTACCATTTGATTTGTCGATATTGAAATTTTGTGGTATTCTAATAGACGTGTTTAATTCCAATTGAGATTCTTGAAGGTTACTCTACTATAAACCATACAATTCATGCCTATATAAAGGATAATATATTCCTTCAAAGAGACATCTCGAAAATTTCATAAATTCATGAAATATTCGTAAAGAGATCAAGATAATAAGGAAAGGACCGAGTTATACCCACATATTTTATTAATACTTTTCTTATTTCTTCATATTTTATTTATGGTTGATTTATTTTCCACATTTACAATTTGTTGCAATCAGTTGTCTAGAAATTGGGAAAACTATTCCTTAATTTGGTAATTTCTGCTGAAGAAAAGTCTTCTTGGGTACGTGTATACTGAGAAACAAGAAGCTAACATATGATCAAATATTGTGAAATGTACATTTTCTTGGCTCTCTATTTTAGGTAATTCTAGAAGGCTAATCTTATCCCATGTAGTCTATAATTTGATCTAGTTTTCAACTGGAAAAAAAAAAAAAGTTTACTTGTCAATAGTTATCATGTAATGGAAATGTTTCAAACAACGTAAATCATATTTGAAGCGTCATTATTACTATTTATTTCGCATTTTAGTTTATTTGAGACTGAGATGTACGTAGTAATTATAGTTATTGTAATGACCTTCTTTTCTCCTGTTGGTACATATGATCTGTATTTTTGTCGAACTCTACAAGATGCATATATACTAATAATAACGCAACAATACAAACTTTAAGAGGACTCATACCCAATAATTAAAGCTTTAGGACATAGACTAAATGTTGAGTATGATATGACAAATATTGTTGAGTAGGATTCTAACCTTTTCCATTAAAACTTAGGTAAATGCTGAGCATGATCTGACAAATGTATACATTCCATTTTGAACACAAATAATATGGAGTTATCATTTACAATGGCTCAAGGATAAATGAGGACAGAACCAATATTTTTTTGCAGATGAACTATTAGTATATGTTATGCACTAATCATCTATATATGTTAAATTAAAATACAAGATTAATGGGTTTTGAAAGTGGAAAATTAAAAGAGGATAAGATGTCTTAATTGCATTGAAGTATTATCAAGGGACTAAAGATAATTCCATCTCTATTTAAGAAGCTAGTTAAAGATAGATCTTATAAGCTAATTAATTAGTAGGATTTCACAAGTAATGAAATTAACTAGCATACTAACTAATAATTAGGGAAGGAAGAATAGGCCTCTTAATTAATTTTGCTAGCAAATTTCATTTAAATACTACAACTACGTTTTGTTTTTAATTGAACACCTGCACAAATACTCGAGTGTTCTAGTTAGACACTTTCATTTCAAATTTTTGAATTTTTTTTAGTATGTATCTACATGTTTCCAAGTGTCCATACGTAGATAAATTAACCATTTAAAATATTTCAATTCCTTTAGTTATAAGTATCAAGAAGCCGTAAAACCTAATTGACGCCGATGTGTATACTCAAAGAAGATGACATATATTTTTGTGGTTAACTCAACTACTTAATAGACGTTCGAGAACATTGAGTATCTAAATGACAAGTGAAGGGAGCTGCCAATGTACTACGCCAAAAAAGATGCACATGGAATATATAAATGGTACACATCACAAGTGGAATCCACTGAAAAAGGAAATTTCTTCATAACAAAAAGGGGCACCATATCTTTTGTGGTACAAAGTTGCAAAGTTATTTGATAAAATGTTTGGAGTTAAGCAACACAAGGATCATAGTACAACATTCCTATACAATTCTGTGTCAGCTTTGAATACATATGGGTACACTTCTTATGTATGGACAGCATTCTCTTCAGTGAATACTCCACAACAAAATTTGGAAAGAGTAAATATAATGGACTTATCCATCAAAAAGAGAGGACCAACAAGTAGTAGAACAGATCATCTAAACATTATCTCCACCATCCAAATATTCGAAACAAATATATTCGTCTGAGTCTTCTATTGTATGCCATGAAGGCTCTCGCTTTGGTAGGGTCCTCATTCAAAAACTCAAAGGCGTACATTTGCTTTGATTCTTCCATACCTTCGATTTCCATCACAGCTTGCAGAAGAGCAGGGGTGTCAATGGTGTACTTGCTTTGCTCGATTGTGTCAGCTAGGTGTCGGATGCTTGAGGCTATCGCCAACATTGCATCCTGCAGTGTCTCTGAGCTACGAGTCCGTTTTGCAGCTTGCCCCTCGGGTTGAGCTTCAGGCTCATCTTCATCTTCATTATTAGCAAGCATTTCAGTATATACTGGTTCTTTGGCAGAGGACTGTGTCTCGGTTCCATCTGAATCGTTCATATGCTCTGAACTTGCTGAAAGATATGATGCAGACTCTTGTTCATACTTGCACTCTATCACTGGATTTCCGTTCACTTTGCCTGGCATTCTTGCCCAGCGGCTATGAGCTTGATAATTTCCACATACGATTTTCATTTCTTCATACATGGCTATCTGCTTTCCTCGAAAGGTCCTAGCATCAGGGTGTGCCTGATAACATATTAGATAATATTCGAAGGCATCAAACTAGCAGACCGATTTAAAAAATATGTTATATGGAGAAAACTTAGAGAGGTAAATGAAAAGGGGAAACGTCAAAACACAAAGAAAGGAATTAATACAAAGTCAGAACATTAAGTGGGCATAACAAGCTAAAACTTACAGCAACGTATCTCTTCCAAAGATCATCATCTTCACAGTCTATTGTATTTGTATTGGGATTCCAAGAGAATCCCTCTTGACTGAGGATATTCCTTATTGTGTTGTACCTCTTTTTGATTGTCTTAAGACGATTAACAACCTTTTGGTTATTTAAGGACAAGCTGAAATGAGAATTAACGGCAACACAAGCAGCATTATATGCATTTTCATTGAAGCATTTGTCAACTTTATTTCCATTTCTTGCTTGAATAGAAAGTGCTTCAATCAAACACTTGTCCATTGCCGGAGACCAGACAACATTTTTTCCCTTGTGCTTTGTCTTCCTTGCCCCACTATCTAGGTCATGTTGGTCAAATCCTATAATAAACAGCAAAAATTAATGTTACGTATTCAGAATGCTAAGAGATGGGCAGCTGTATTTACATGCTTGGTTTCACGGTTCGATGCAGACATATCAATCAACTTAAAAACAAGGAGCAAGATGCCGACAACAGATAAAAAAAAATTGTTACTTATTAAAAAAGACAAAAAAGGAAGAGGATGTGTTTATTCCAAGAAAGGTCCCTGATGACTGACGAACCCACATAAATGAAATTGAGAGAGAAAAAACCAGAGGGGACAAAATCACCGAAAACAATTTTTTTCTCTTTGGAAAAGAAGTCAAGAACTGCAAGTACAATTGCGATAATCAAGACTGAACCAAAAAACTGTGACAGAAGTTAAATTTAGCCTGACCTAGGTATAAGCCTCTCCACCCTCCATCTTCCTCAAGAAAGAGGAAACCAAAATCTTAGCTAAAAGAATCCATACCTATACATGCACTAGTTATAAATGTAATATCAGAGACAACCCACAGCATCACTGGCCAGCATACGAGATATGTCGTATATAAAGGGTACTGGAATTGTGATTATCAACTATAAGAATTATCCCAATCGTTTTAGATTTCACTCCAACTTAAATATATTATGCCTGTTGTATATAAGTATGTGAGATACAGGTTATCTAAAAGTTCAATAATTCATGATAATGTGTATAAGCAGGGGAGGAACCACCTTATAGCCCCCTTCGGTGGAAAATTATATTACTTGTACATGGTTAAAATAATTTTTTATGTATATATAGTAGATGGCGAACCCCCTTCGGCTACTTCGTGTGTCTATTTCTAGAGATTTTGAACCCCCTTATTGAAAATATTGGTTCCTCCACTGTGTATAAGTATGCATACATAGAAGCATACAACTTACACACCTAGTAGGAAAAGAGTAATTAACAAAGTGAACTTGGAACTAAAAATTAAAGAAGCATATACAGGCCCGACAAAGGAATGAAATTACTTCAATACATGCAGATATGTGATTTATACCAAAAGCAAAAGTGGAACCCTAAAAAATAACATCAATGAGCTATATCTTCCCTGTCAAACGCACTGCCGCTTCTCCATCCCATCATCTCACACTGTTACTGCTTCGCTTCAAGAATTTATTTTATAACGATAATATGATGGTGTTCCTCAATTTCACACTATAATTAGCTCCTTTATCTCACGAAATATATTAATCAATGGCTATATCTGTAAATGGCATAACAACAGGTGTGCAAAACTCAACTCAACTCATCTACTCCCAACTTGGTTTGGTCACTCATTAAATGAATAGACCAACATAATAGTTTGTCAAAACCAGTAAATTATATCTACTTTTTAGTATGTTTTGCTTCTACGATTAACAACACAATACATGATTCAAATAACGGCCCCTTGGATGCACAATACCTATCAAGATCTGGCAACTATGTCTAAGATCAGCAGATCTAGTTG